GAATCCAGCTTGCCTCTAGTGAGTGAAGACAAGCACACTGACCACACACACTGCATCTTACTCCTTAAATGCATACACACACTTTTGGTAAAAGGCAGGGCATGAATAGGAAAAAACAGACGCATTCCAAAAAGACATTAGCTAAACAAAAGTCAAGTCCACCAGGCAAAGTCATCAGGAAATTAGCTAACATAGTTCCCCTCATTCAACAAAAGATAGCAGGCACTTGTCTCAATATCTCCTTTCATCCCTGAAAGCTTTAAAATTGATTCATGGTTTCATCACTACAACAAAGAAACATTGGATAGATTAAATCAAGTCTTTTTTTAATTTGGATATCAACAGCAAGAATCCCACCCAGGTCTTGCTAAAAACGACTTTGGCTGACGTTATGAAATGCTTCCTCAAGCTCTTCTTCAGCCAAATGAGAAGTCGTCTGGAAAGGATTCATCCTTTTAGTGTACACAGAAGATCTTCTTCTTGGATCTATAAACTAAGTCTTTAAATTCCTCTGTAATTACTTCAAAGACATAAATAGAGCCGATACTATTTCTGGCATCCCAGCTGGCTCTTTAGACAAGGTACACAGCATTTTCAAATAAAGCTTCCATAAAGTGTGTAGGTATTCTAGCAACAGACAGATGCCTGGAAATTCTAAAACACAGTGTCTAAAAAGAATGGCTTCCAAAAATGCTAGTGTATGAGACAGGCCCCTTTCTCCATTTTCATCCCTGCAACAGCTGTTAGGATTTCTTTTCTTCCTAAGCTGAAGTGGATTCTGTTTTCAGCCCTGCTGTGGCTTTCTTCGAAAGTTCTGTGCACTGCTACATTCACTAAGATGCTAACACACCAAGCCATAGTAAGGGGAATGGTTGTGCCCCCAGGCTCATCCTGTAGTTATCAACCCCTGCAATTTGAAGGTTTGTTTCCAAAGCCACAGCCTCACACAGTCACCAGGGTGCTAGTGCTGATGCATACAAACATGGTACACATTTTCAGAAAACAAATACTGCCTCCTATATCTGGCACCCTTCTCCAATGGATTTAGACATTTGCATCTTACAATTTCTCTTATGTGGCATGTTTGGCTTTCTTTTAGTAACAGACATAAATTCTTGAGTCATCTCATACATTTGATTATCCCATTGTTTCAGATCACATTTGTTTGCCTTCTGAAATTTGAATCAAGATTGCAGACATTTGGTTCAAAAATCTATAGAATTAATTCCTAGAAAGCACAGTTGCTTTAAATTCTTTTTTCCTTTTTTTAAAAATATTTATTTTATATGTGGAGATCAGACATATCATAGTGCACATACGGAGTCAGAGGTCAGAGTTGATGCTTTTCATGTACTGTGTGGGTTCTGTGATTTAAAGTAGGGTCACTAGACTTGACAGCAAGCACCTTACCCACAAAGCTACCTCTCTGACCTAATTTTTTATTTAATAGTAGAAAGTTACTGAACAAAATGAAACATAAGAGATTTAAAATGTAGAGATTCTGGGGCAAGTGCCCAAGGTTCATCATTGTTTAATTTACTTCTCTTGAGGGTAGATGGAGCTTGCCTTTGTTCTTAATTAGCAGATTACAGTAAAGAAGCAGTAGATCAGGATCATCATTAGGTGTACTTTTAGGTCTAATTCTATTTTATGTTGCTATAACAAAACACACCAAATTTGGATAACTTATAAAGGAACATATCTACATCTTCCACAGTTTCAGAGGATAAAAGTCTAAGATCACATATTTCCATATGTTTGGACTCTGGCAAGGGTTCTCAGTGTACATTAAAAGGATGATAAGATCATGGTATGACTGCAAGCAAAAAGACAAAGTAAGAAGACAAGATAATCTGACTCATCTTTTAGTAGAAACCCATTCTCATGGGAACTAACCCACTGCTCAGGGCTAGCACTAATCCTTTCTAAGGGCAGTACATGGCCCAATTACCACTGGAGTTTAAAAGGGTATTTAAACTATAGCAATATACAAAATGTGTCTTATCACACAAGGGATCGTCCCATGGACTTGGTAAAATAAATGGCAATGATGAAGAAACCCAACTATCAAATCTTACTAGGTGGCTACAGAAAGTGGCTACAGGGACCAGCTTCAGCCAACAGCCCACAGAAACCTAGGGCACTCTATCCTATAGCCACAAAGAAATAAATTATACTAAACCCAAGTCAGCTTAGATGTGAGAACTTTCAGAAGAAAAGAAAGCTTGGTTCACATATTGAATACAGCCCTGTGAGATTCTCTTTGGGCTATGAGCAGAGCTAGACGAGCTCCAGATATCAAAACCTGACCTATATAAACTGAAAAAAACAAAGACTAATGCTTAAGTCCTTAAATGTGTACATTTTGTTGAAAGTTAACACAACATTGAGCTGGAGAACCTGACTAATATGCCTGCCAAATCTTTACTTAAAAGAGAAGTAGTTCTTAAATTCTGTTCTTTATGGCATCTCTTTTGCCCTGAATCAAAGGAAATGTTTGAATTGTCACCTAAACTCACTTAATCACATGATTAAAATCTAATCTTTGAAAATTAGTTTGGACATTATTTATCATCAGATTTGTGTTCATATCTATGAACATAACCTATGATCTATCCCAGTAACGAAAGACATAAAACAAAATCCCTCTATGTCAGAATTAAAATCCTGTAATTAATAGATGAAAACATTGGGAATCTACTAACTTAGCAGACCCACTGGCTTCTTCTAACCCCAAAGCTAAGAATGTCATCATGATAGCATCTGAGGCCGATAGCATAGTTTCCCCCATCTTGCTGTAACCATCTCTCTGATGTCTCCACCAATATATTTTTAACTTGCCTTGATTTATGGTATTCTTTGTTCTGCAAAGCTATAAAACTTCATGAAACTACTTCCATGTTAGAACATGGAATTTAGAGTAATCTAAATCTGTGTTCCTGGACCGTAGTCATTCAAAAATAGTTCTAGAATTACTATCTTATTCCCTTTAAAAATATTTATAAAATATTTTCACAGAAAAACTTTATAGTTAAAAACGCTTTGTGGTGATAGGAACTTGGGACAATCTCTGCTAGGAATGGTCAGGGATGGTCATTTAATTACTGGTCCAATCTTGCTCATCTTTAAAGACTCATAGATGCACTTTCTACATCTCTGCCAGGAACATTGGACTTCTCTTTGGGTTTCATAGACCATGTTAACTGTAAATATTTCATCCTGGTTATAGTTGCCAAAATAACACTATCTCTAGTCCAGTATTCAAAAACTGCAGCTCATAGGTCAAATTCTGCCTATAGCTGGTTTTTGTAAATACATTTTTATTAGAACACAGCCATGTCATTTTGTATGCATGCCGCCTATGTTTATATTCAGTACAGTACAGGGCTGAGTTAATTCAGCAAAGACTTTATGATTCAAATGTCTAAACTGACTACTACCCAGACTTCTGTGATTTGGATAAATGTTCTGAAGGCTTATGTGTTAAAACTTTGATCAGCAGGTCAGGTAGTTCCAGAGGTCAGGTAGTGAAAGCATTTATGTCATTGAGAGCAAGTATTTGAAAGAGACTGTGAGAACCCAGCCTTCTCCTTGATCTATCATTTGCTCCTTGCCTATAAGGTAAATAGTTTTACTGTGCTATACTCTTCTACTGATCATAAGTGCAAAAGCCAAAGGATTAGATGACTATGATCTGAAAACTCCAAAACCATGAGCTGAAATAAAACTTCCCTTTTTTAAAAGTTGTTTATATCAGATATTTGTTATAGTGATGGAAAGCTGAGTAACAAAGACACATTTACAGAATGAAATTGTTGATCCTTTGACCAAGTCATGGATTTCATGAAAAGGAAGACTTATTTATCTCTGTGGTCCAAAAAACTAGTCCCTAGATCAGGTGTTTGTAAATTAGAGAATTTTATTTTATAAAAAGATGCACTAACCTTCTGAAATTCAAGATAGCAGCATTTATTTCTAAGTAAGATTGCCCCTCACCTGAATGCCTGTAGGATTTTGTCAAGATAGTGACAGTCCAAGGAAAACAGTCTGTCCACAGGCTTTATATGACTCTGAAAGGTGAAGACAGAATGAACAGAGCTGGCTACTAGACCACATTCTGATCCTTCATCACAAGGCTGTATTTAGATCAAATTGTCATTGAACAATTTTCACATTACTTAGCAAGCCCATGTGCCTTCCAGGGGACAGTCATTCTGTTTTCAGACTCATGTAGACTCTTTCCCCAAAGCCTGCTGGTATACCGCTGTCTGAGAACCCTTTTAAGTCCCATTTGTAAGCCTTCTTTGGATGTTGCTCCCTTGTCAAAAACAGGAAGCCATTATTTTCCAGTAGTAAACATGTTCAAAATCAAGTTAGCCATTCAGCTTCCAATTCAAGACCATGTTTTATACATGGAAAAAAATCATGTTTTTAATCTTTGTGAAATGCATCAGAATTCTCAAAGAAAGGCCAAGTGTCTTAAAATTTTGTGGGAATCAAAGAATTTGAAGAACCTCTCCAAGGATTGATTCTTCTCCAAACTCTATGAATCTTTTAACATCTCTATGATTCATTTCTTCAGTATTTCAATACCCCGAGATTAGTTGGAATGTCTTTTCCTTCGTTTGTCCACCCACAATCTTTCCAAAGCCCATATGGGATGCATACAGTGACACTAACCACTGAGAACAAAGCAGAACAAGATGTTTTCTGTGAACGCAGAGTCTCAAAAGAGACAAATTCACCCGAATCATGACAGCTTTCTCAATCACATAGACTGTTGTATCTTAGTCTGCAATGTAAACTACTATGAAATATTACCTAAGAGCTCTGTAAGTAATTGCATCAAGCCCACAGAGACAACCTCATGAATAGGACAGTTTTTATCCAGCTTCATGATGATGCTTGGGGACTTCTTCCAGTTAAATACTGAGTGTCCCCAATAGGAAAAGACCCCAATTTCTGACATGAGTGACTGAACAATGACTGCCACTCTAAGGTGCCTTTAATTCCAGCTTTTAGGAGAAATAGACAAGAGGATCTCTGTGAGTATGTGGCCATCCTCCTGTTTTACATAAAGAGTTCTAGGACAGCTAAGGATACATAGAGAGACTCTGTCTCAAAAATAGTCAAACAAACAAACAAACAATGAAAAGAGTTCAACCAAACTTTATTTTTCAACTGTTTTTCAAATTAGCCTTGTTTTTTGTTATTTACTTATAGAGGGTCTTATAAAAACCCTCCAAGTATTTTTAAATTAATTTTTATATTTAAATTAATTTTGCTCTGTAGTTGTCTTCTACTCCAGTAGGACAACTGCCATTTAAAGACTAGTGAGCCGAGCTATGTAAAAAGAAAACTTTGAAGATGCTGTGTGAGCTCAGAAAAGAGGTACCCAGAAGAAGCAGGATGAATGTTGGCAATGGTAGATACCCTGTAAGATAAAGAATGGACCAAAAGCAGTAGGAAGCCAGAGGAGATAGGACATTGTCAGAACTTGAATACATTTTAATACATAAGACATGGGACAAAGAGACTTTGTGTGTGTGTGTGTGTGTGTGTGTGTGTGTGTGTGTGTGTGTGTGTGTGTGGTTTAGTGTGAAATGTCCCCCATAGGCTTGTGTCTTTGTACAGTTGATTCTTTGCTTGGGTGTAGCTAGAGTTTTCCTGCCTTGCCCACAGTCAGGACAAGTCTTTGTCACCCGCCAGTCCCACAGCCGCTCAGACCCAACCAAGTAAACATAGAGACTTATATTGCTTACAAACTGTATGGCCATGGCAGGCTTCTTGCTAACTGTTCTTATATCTTAAATTAATCCAGTTCCATAAATCTATACCTTGCCATGTGGCTGGTGGCTTACCGGCGTCTTCACATGCTGCTGGTCATGGCGGCGGCTTGCAGCATCTCTCTGCCTCAGCCTTCCGCTTCCCAGAATCCTTTCTCCTTGTCCCACCTACTTCCTGCCTGGCCACTGGCCAATCAGTATTTTATTTATTGACCAATCACAGCAATTTGATATACAGACCATCCCACAGCACTTGGGGTGTTCTTTTTTGTTTCGGGGGAGAGCACAGATTATGGCACCTTTGGATAGGGTAGGTAAGGAAATATATATGATAGCCTAGCCTGAGTTCTGGACCAAGATCCCTGTTTCATTATCTACTGGGATGTAATAGGTCATGTAACAAGCTCCCACTACTATGGACTCCATCATTACAATATTTATAACTTCCCCATGAATGGTAATGGCCTACAAACCATGGGCTAAAATGAGTCCTTCCTTTCTCAAGCTGTTTCTGCCAGGTGCTCTCTCAGTGATGAGAAAAAGTGACTAACATAAATATTGGTACTCAAGTAGTTGGATTGTTGCTGTGATCATCTGACCATGTGACAGACTTTTGAAATAACTGTATGGTAAATGTGGAAAACTTTGGGTCTGTATACTAGAAAACCTTTGGAATGATATAAGCAGAGCTTAATGGATTCTAGTATGTGTACCCATAAGAATATTGCCAGTAAAGGCTGTGTTCATCAGGTTTCAAGAGGAAACAAGGACTCTGTTAGGAATTGGATTAGAGATCATTCATATTATGCTGTGCCAAAGTACAAGGCTATATGATGTTTGTTTCTTGAAAATATGACTGAGGGGGGAAAAAGGACTAATTAGATTGACAGGAAATTTAGTGACATCACTACATTCAAGCTACAAGGTGGTCACTGCTGCATTCAAGCTATGAGATGGTCACTGTTGCATTCAAGCTGTGAAATATCACTACTGCATTCAAGCTATGAGATGTCACTGCTGCATTCAAGCTACAAAATGATTACTGCTCACTGTTCTTAGCCAGATTTATAGTAAGAGAGAGCTGAAAATGGAGCAGAAAGCTGTCAGAGGAGTTTGAACTTGTTAAAGTTGCAGATATGACAGGGAAGAAAATGCAGCTTTAAGTGTTAAATAGGTTATGACAATAATGAGAAACCAAGCATTTTGTATTGGAACCATAAGAATAGTGTCGAAGGCAAAGTTCCACTTATGGATGGCTTGAGGACATAAAGCTGAACCTTCATTTGAAAGGTTTTATTTGAAAGAAGAGCCGTTGAAAAGTTTGTTCTTTTAGAGTGCCCTGGTAGAAAAAGGCTGCTTAGGGAAGTGTCTTCCCAGGTTCACCCACACAAGGGCACAGGGAGATGGTTGCAGCTATGGTTCAAATGGACCAAAGTACATCATAAGCTCATATCAGACTTGTGTGGTGTAAATGCAGTTTTGATTTTTTAAAGACTTTTTAATTCATTTTACATACCAATTGCAGATTCCCCTCTTCCTTGATTTGAAGGCAAGGGACAAAAAAATTTACAAAATATAGTATAATAAAGACTTTCTCCAATATTCTAGAAAGTGGCTAAGGTCAGGCAGTGTGTTGCAGTGTCAGATTCCATTGCACACACGATCTTAAGGGCCATTGCATGAAGATGGAAAGGTGAGGCCTCAGTTGTGATAGAGGCCCATGTTATTGGAGATGCCACAAATACGACGCATTTGCCATGGAAAGCTTCATGGATTGAGTGGAGTTAGTCCAAGCGAAAGCACATATATGCTGCAAGTGGCAGGAAGAGACAGATGGGTCCACTCAAGCTATGATAACCAGATAATGCCAGGTAGTCTCAGGACCTGGAGATGGCGCTACAAAGCTTGGTGGTTTTCCTGTTCCGTTTCATTCTTGCTTTGTTGTAGAATTTTCCTGCTATGCCCCAATTCTTTCCTTTCAGAATGGAATTGTTTCCTCTGCGCTATTGTGTGTTGGATGTAGGATATATGTAAATTCTGCTTGTGTGTTGGAAGCATGTAGAATAAATGTAAATTGTTTTCTGTCTTTACAGGTCTCACATCTAAAAGTTTGTCCTAAGTTTGAGAGAAGATTTTAGACTTTAAAAACATTGGAACTGTAGGATTACAGAAATTTTAGAAGTTGGACTAAATCCACTTTGCTTTATGAGATGACCATGAACTTATAAGAGACAGGGCAGGTAGTTATTGCTTGAAGGTGAAATGTCCCCCGCAGGCTTATGTGTGTGTGTGTGTGTGTGTGTGTGTGTGTGTGTGTGTGTGTGTGTGTGTGTGTCTGTGTGTGTGTGTGTGTGTGCGTGCATGGTGTGTACAGCTGCTCTACAGCAGGTGATGGTTTTTGGGATGTCATGGAACCTTTGGGGTATGCGTGCTTGCTGTTAGATATAGGGTCCCAGCTTTTGTCCAAGCTGTCTACTTACTCATCTACTGAGATATAACAGGTCACTCCACAAGCCCCTGCCATAACAGAACCAGCCACCTGAACCATTAGTGCCTTTGCTACAATGAAGGACTATATTGGTGAAATTATTAAGGCCACTCCATGTAGTTGAAAGGAAGATTTATTTAGTGGATAACTTATAAATGAAGGGATAGGTAGGTCTCGAGGTCTGGGGAAGGTGTATCACAGTCCAGTGGTGTTCTCTGAGCTCTGCTTGGTACACCTCCACTGTCAAGGGTCCAGGAACAGAGAGAGTGCTGGCCCATCCAGATCTTGGGTCTCTCAGCGCCTCCCTTGGCCCTGCCTTGTAGATGTGACAGTTGCTGAAGCTTCAATGGGGGTTAGAACTTCCAGATCAAAGCTGGAATGGCTACCCACTACAGGACTATATCCCTCTGAACCAAAAGTTAAAATAAACCCTTCCTTACACTGTCTTTGTATGCTATATTAATGAGAAAAGTAAGCAGTACAATATTGAAAATCCAAATGGCTTTTCGAGAAATGTTTGGGATTCTCGAGATTTAAGATTTCCCAAATAATTTGTAAAGTAGTTATGCCATGAAGAGCATTGAGAAATGGAAGAGTGTTTGGAGAGTTAATAAGAACATTGTTTGTGTTTTTCTTCTCACAGACAATACAAATTGCTACTGTAAGTGTTACAGCTCTGAAAGGGAAGGTATCCTGGTAATTGGAAGCCAAGAAATACATACAGCTCTGAAGGGAAAGATATTCTGGTAGTTGGAAGCCAAGGAGTACCTATATTCTGAAGGGAAATGTATCCTGGCAGAAGTGTTAAAGTTCTGTTCAGGTGGGGAACAGTTACTTCAGCAAAGTGTTGTAATCTTTGCTCTGGGAAAGATTTCCCTAATGCAAAGTGTAACAACACTGCTCCAGCAAGAGAGGGGCTCCCCAGACAATGTTGTTACAGTTTTCCTGTGGAAATGTAGCAGTTCAGCTTTGCTCCAGGGCCAGAGCCATTACAACTCTGCCTTGTTCCATGAAAGTTTTGCATCTCTGCTCCACTCCGGCAAAATAAAGTCATTACAACAAATCTCACTCAAGAAATTTATTTTGAGGGATGAATGGCAGCCTCTGCAGGGTGGAAAAGGGGGCACTCCAAACTGATCAAGGGCTTACATAGGGTTTCCTAGGGGTATAGCTCTTTCCAGGGTGGAGATTTTCACGACAGGGATTAGTAGGATCTCAATTCCTTAGCTTGGGACAAGTTCAGAGATTGGTTGTATTTTGTGCCCAGGAATTGGTTGGCTTTTGTGCTCTGGGATTGGTTAGATTTCAATTCCTGAGTAGGTTGGGGGGCAGGATCTGTTTCCTTGGCTCTGGTCTCAGAGCCCTTTATACCCCACACATAAGAAGATTAATGTAGGCATCTCTAGTCTACAGAAGTTTCCAATAAAGGATATCTTTATTGGAAAAAGGATATCTTTATTTGTAAAATGATATTTTTTTAACTTTAAATAGCTGTTACAACAAGTAGCCTTTTTCAAATATCACTTATGGTCCCATGAATAACAAATACTCACATATATGTACATATTTTCAGTAAAGTACCAAAATAGTGAAATGCCTATGTAAGATTTGCTAGCTGGTTTCTACATGCAAAAGCTTAATCCAAATTTGATTTTGTTCCCAATGTTAGGAATTATCAAATAAACATCTCAGATGTTAGCTACATTCGCAAGCTTATGATCCCCTTTTGCATAATGACTTAATCCAGATATGTGTAGAGACATGGCCAGTATCCACCCATCGCCAAGAAAGCCACAGAGATGTCCCTCCTACTGCAGGAAAGCCAGGATCAGCATTGGGTGATTATTTCTGACATAGACATTGCAATCCATTGTTTTGTGCTCGTTCTCTCTCTCTCTCTCTCTCTCTGTCTCTCTCTCTCTCTCTCTCTCTCTCTCTCTCTCTCTCTCTCTTATTCTGTCTCACTTAAGAAGTTCAATCATCAAGAAAGGATCCCCTTCTTCCTGGATCTCAACCTTAGAACTGTGGGAAAGTAATTGCTACCTCCAATCTGTATCTTCGTCCCTACACCATTAGTATGTGATGGGAAGATGGATGGCAGAGACAAAGGCTCAAGCTGCTTTATGACAGAAAGATCAATTTGCCATTTGTGATGGTAGAAATGGACCAGAATCCCAGCTCTTTAATTTTCAACTGCACAAAAGTTGCACTATATTTCCTACCAGATGACTTGACCACAAATAATCTCTCAATTTTCTAGTC